CAGGGCTACCTGCTGAGTCAGTGTAATAACAATTGCCACAGGGACCTTATATGGAAAAGTACGGGGACCTTTAGGTTCTAGGACAGTTAATGCAGATCAAACCTTTCCCCTGTTAGAGCACCATTAGAATGTGAGGGAAAGTGCAGAGTATTTTTGCAAAACCAGTTTTCTATGCAAATACCAAGTTTATTGTCTGTTTAGACTGTATTTCTACAAGGTGCCAAATCCTTTGCCTCATGGTACTCACTGAAACTCCCTGTCTTCCACTTTTACCCTCACCCTCTGCTGTAGTGTTGTGTAATCCATGTTGGAGAGCTCTGTTTCACCCTCTGGCCCACTATTCTAATTCTCTGGGTTTCTCCAGGTCCCTTTTTTTATCCGCTATTGAACTTGAGCATTTTTCCACAGTTGCCCTTTTTGATAAGCAGCTGCCCTCCAGTTGTTTTGATTCTGTCTTATGGAGAAGGGAGAAACTTGGTGCCTCTAATCCGGGACTTTCCAACTCTAAGATTTCTGTTTGACTTCTAAATTGCCTCAATTTTTGGGGTAAGTTTTTCTCTTGTAATATTGAAATATTTCTTTGTATTCTCATGAAGCTCGCTGATTTTCCTTAAAACAGCTGTGTTAAATCCTCCATCTGAGAGTTTTCCTATAACGTTTACAACCTGGTGAGTTCTGGTGCTGTATTTTAGCTGTTAGGTGAGGCCATGTTTCCCTGAAAGTTCTTGATTTTGGTTGATGTGCAATGTTGGGTACATGTTGGAGAATTAGGTATTTATTCTAGTCTTTTAAATCTGGCTTGATCTCGGCCTGTCTAGAAATTCCAAGTAGATTTATTTTCTTTTACCGTAGAGTCTCTTCCACTATTTCAGTACTTGGTGCCCTTTGTTAGGAATCCATGGTTGGTAGGTAGTCACTGTTTCAGTGCTAGAGGTTGATCCGAATCCAGGTTTGTCCCTTCACAGTTGATTCTTTGTTCCATATGGACTTGGGGTTTACTTAAATGGATATCCTTCCTTTCATGACTCTCCTTGAGGCTAGGGTTGGCCCAGGTGCCTTATTCGGAGTCACTGGCCTGTAGTTACACACAGTACGATTTTACCATTTTACCTTATAATGAGCAGAATCTCTGTGGAGGGACAACACTTAGGCTTATATATCATTAACGCTACATTTATGTGCCATACCCCTACCTTACAGCCAACAACAAGCAATGCAGCACTGGAGTGGACCAATGCCAGCACTGCTATGGGCTGCCTGCTGCTCAGGTGGAATTTTGGCATTCTCCTACAGGTGATATTGACCAGAATAGTCCAATAGACTGGTGGGTTTCATGTTTCAGTTCAGCTCCAGGACTGTTCCAGTGGCTCCATCCATGGGTACTTATCTGGTAATGGAACCATTAGCATTTGCCCAGCTGAGATTTTACCAGCCCAGTACTGAGTTCCAAGGCAAAATCCTTTGTTTACTACTTTGTCTTACTCTTGTGAATGGAGTCTTGATTCATGCTATGCTTACTTTAGTTTTGGTAGTATTGTTGAAGGAGGTCCCTTGACTGGGAGGTTCCTTGCTGGGGTTACTTTGGCTTGCCCCTGAGCTTTACAGCTGAAGGTACCCACATAGTCTCAGTGGTGGACCCAGGCCTATGCAGAAATTGTCAGTGGTCCAAGGATGAATCACAAGTCACATCTACTGGGGCACTGTGCTCTTTCTGATGACAGAGTGGGTCTACTTGCTTTGTATGTTAGCACTAGCTGCCTGTGGTTGAGGAATAAGTGATGGAGACCATCACTTGGTTGCCAAGACTTATTTACACTAAGCTGGGTGATATCCAAATCTCACAGCCTCAGGGACTTGTATACTCTGTGAAGGGGGCTACTCAGGCCCACTCCAAGGCTAGCCATGATGCATTCCAAAACTCCAGTCTGACCCAGTGGTATAAAGATTTCTGCATCATGCAGTGGAAAGTTTAGAGTCTCCATTTGCAGGCTCTGCTCTGGGACCAGGGGCTTTTGTTTTTGTTTGGTACCGGGGATCAAACTTGGGACTTTGTGCTTGCAAGGCAGGTAGCAGAACCACTAAGCTAAGTCCCCAGCTGGCTTTTTTTTGCTTGATGCTGTGTCTCACTGGAATGGGCTTGGTACTGAGCTCCAAGGCAAACTCCTTTCTTGGTTTTCATACCCTGCTCCACAGCAGGTGTAGTCTTGCTCCCTTCTTCTGCCCAAGACTAGAGGAGTGGTGGTGGTTGCAATTTATTTGTTACCTTGCTAACAGAGTTCCAGTAACTCAAGCAGCAGGTACCAGCCTGGGATCAGATAATCTCTTTAATGAATGGTGTTGGAAAAATATAATCCATGTGCAGAAGTATCAAATTGAATCATCTCATACCATAAAAAAACCAAACATTGACAAAAACTTAAACACAAAATCTTTAATCATAAAAGTATTAGAATAAAACATAACAAAAAATTTCTTGATAGTTTATTAGGGTATAACATTGCTGTCATTTGGGTATAGAATGTCTTCCAATAACCTTATATTAAATATTTGGTTCCCAGCTGGTACTATTGGGAGAGGTGGAAACTTTAAAGAGGTGGGACTTAGTGAGAAGTCTTCCAGTCATTAGGGGCATACCCTTTCTGCCAGTTAATCTTGATCTTCAACCTGACTGAATTAAAAGACTACTGAAGAGGTGATTGGATTGTCACCAGTGGGTTAATCCATTGATGAATTAATAGGTGAATGTGTTATTAGTGGGTGGGGATGAGTTGGAGGATGTGGGTCATGGGTCATGACTTTGGGGACTATATCTGGTTCCTGGCTTGTTCCAGTCAGGCTCTTTTACTCTGTGCTTCTCAGATGACATGAGTTGAGCAGGTTTTCTTGATGTTTCTGCCTTAGAGACAGGTGATCATGGACTAAAACCTCTGAAAATCTGAGCCAAAATAAAATTCTCCTCCTCCTATAAATTGTACTTTTCTGGTATTTTTGCCTTAGCAACTGAAAAGCAGACCAATGAAGTTTTGAAGGGGATAATGGGCCCTGATCCCCTCTTCTTTCTCTTCTTTTCCACTTTCTGGACAATATGAGGTGGTCAGATTATTCTATCATGCATTGCTTACCATGATATACTGCCTCACTACCAGCCCCAAAGCAATGGGGCCCAATGGACCATGGATTGAAAGCTCAAAAACTGTGAGCCAAAATAACATTTTATCTCTTAAAATTGCATACTTCTGGTGTTTTGTTAGAGTAAAGGAAAATTGATTAATACTGACAACAAAAGCATAAGCAACAAGAGCAAAAGTACACAAGTGGAATTGTAATAAGATAAGGAAAAGGAAAAAATTTGTAGAACCATTTCCATTTGTAGATATATCATTATTTAGAAAATACTAAAAGTTCTTGAAAGCAACTACTAGATATAATGCATAAACTTAGCAAGACAAGAGAATATGATGTGCATATAAAAGTCATATATATCTCTGTGCTAGCAGCAAACACTTGGAAATGAAATTAAATAATCAATTTCATTTATATTTGTGTCAAAAAACGGCAAGATTATCTTTAACCAAACCATGCAGTAAAAACTACATAACACTGCTGAAAGAACTTAAAATAGACCAAGATAAACCATTTTAGACATCAAAAGACCAAGTTTTGGGAGTTGTCAGAATCACTTCTGAACTTTTTTTTTGCTTCAACTTATATTGCCTTCTATTTTTATTCTGACTTTTATAATGTCTTCCTACAATGACAGAGTGTAAGTGCATGAGCACATACACATAGATATACAAGCACACTTGCACATAAATATATAAACATTCACTTATAACTACAGAGCCCTCAAATGAATGTCTATTAAGATTGGAATATGTTGGGCTGGGGATTTAGCTCAGTGGTTCTGTCGCCTGCCTCGCAAGTGCAAGGACCCAAGTTTGATCCCTGATACCCCAGCTCCCCCCAAAAAGATTGGAATATGTTATGTCCCTCAAGCATGTTGGGAAAAAATAAAGATTAAGAACTTTTAGTTTTGTTGATATATAGAATTTATAATAATTATACTATTTTCTAATACTTATTGAATGCTGAATATGTCACTGTTATGTTACCTTACATATTATCTATTATTTCATTACCCCTCATAATAACCATAAGCAATAAGCATTATTATTTCTTTTCTAAAAATGTAGAAACTAAAGCTCATGAAAGTTAATATATTCAAAGTTATGATTAGTAAGAGGTGAGTAGAGTTAAACCTAGCTTTTTTGGCTTTATAAAGCTAATCATGGAAAATTGTATTAAGTCCAAGTAATTACACTTTGTACCAACATATTGAGAGATTAGATCCCTTTAAATTCTTTTTACTGCTTATGAGCAGTTGTCATGTGCCTTAAGAGGCCAAGTGCCTCCAGGACAAGCTTTACATTGGTAGACTCACTTTTCCTATCACTCCTGATAGTGCACTCAGTGTATGGTTGTTGTGGTGGTTGGAAATAAAGTGTAAATTGTTACAAAGGGAAGAATTTCTTTTAAAAATTTCTTAAAAATTCACATACAAATCCTTATGACTAGAATATTTTTGAGTTAGGCATGTGGCAGTCCCTTTATTGATTTTTTTTGGGAAAATGAGTCAAGCAAAATAAAAATTTTAAGCCAGGTTAATTTCTACCCTGTCATCCATTAAACTCAAAACCATCTAGGAGTATTCAGTTGCACACAAGTACTAACATATTTCAATGTTTTGAAAACTAATGAGATAATATTATGAGTGCACATTATTAACTTTGCTGTATTCAAAGATATAACATGTAAAATTATTCAAGGATAAATTGAGACAGTGTATATGAAATTTATTTGACCATTACTAATGAAGTTGGAATGGAAGTTATAGTGTTCATAAGCTTTACTAAATAATTTACAGAGTTTTCCATATATTATTTTCTAAAATTAATTTCACAGTTACAGAAGATCTAAGACTTTGCCCTGAAATTCACATTTCATTTTCTCAGCTGTCTCATTGCAGTCTTCATGTCTTTGTTTCTCAGTGTGTATATTATTGGGTTTAAAAGAGGAGTAACCACAGAATAAAACACAGCAAGAAATTTATCTAATGATTTGACAGGGAATGGCCAGGCATAAATGAAGATACATGGTCCAAAAAACAAAAGAACGACTGTGATGTGAGCAGTCAAAGTTGACAGAGCCTTGGATGACCGATCTGAAGGGAGACGTTGGATGGTCATTAGAATGATAGTGTAGGAGATGATTAGGAAGACAAAAGAACACACTGTGAGCACACCACTATTAGCAATGACCATAATGTCTAGCCTGTAGGTACCTGTACAGGCCAGCTGGATTACCCTAGGAAGGTCACAATAAAAGCTATCGATCTTATTGGGACCACAGAAGGGCAAGTTCACCGCAAAGGCCAACTGGCTCACTGAGTGGAGGAAGCCAATTCCCCATGCAGCAGCCACAATTCCAAGACATACCTTGCTACACATAATTGTAGTATAATGTAGGGGTTTACAAATTGCTACATATCTGTCAAAGGCCATTGCTAGGAGGATCACCAACTCACTCCCACCAAAGAAGTGAAGGAGAAATATCTGTGCAAGGCACCCCTTGAAAGAGATGGCTTTGCGCTTACTAAAAAAGTCAGTAATCATCTTGGGGGCTGTGACTGAAGATAGAGACAAATCAGTGAGTGAGAGGTTCGCCAGTAAGAAATACATTGGGGAGTGAAGGTGGGAGTCAGAAGCCACAGTTATCACAATCAGAAGGTTTCCAAACACAATTCCTACATAGAAAACAAAAAAGAACACAAATAGGAAAAGCTGGAGTTCCTGAGAATTGGAGAGTCCAAGAAAAATGAACTCAGTGACCGCAGAGTAATTTGCTTTACTTATTGTTTCATTCCAGTAGATGACTTCTGCAGTGCCCTTGGAGAAAATGATGAAGAAGTCAGAATTGTTACACTGAGCTGAAAGCTTTATTCCACAGTAGTACCTTGATTATGCCTTATAGTTCGATTACCCAGGTCTTCCCAGTGTCCCCATTCATGGTAGGCTTATTCCTAATAAAATACTATTTTTTATGCTACTCTGTTTGTCAGATAAAATCTATGCCACTACCTTACATTTATGTCCTTTTTCTCCCATGTTCAAAAACAGTTCTTATTGTATTGTATATGTCTGACATCATTTGATGACACTAAAATTCTTAGGAGGAAAAAGGAATGAAAGATGAAAAATAGAAGAAAAAGAATTTAAAATATCAAAAACATAAGATTTTGAAAGTGAGAGAGGATATAAGAACGGGGAATCCAAAGGTGGAGCAAGAAAAAATGATGACAATGCAATAAAATTTATATGACAAAAAGTGTGAAGCAGTTCAATGGGAGAAAAATTGAAAAGAAATTTCTGAGTGCTTACTATCTATGCTTTATTATGAAAATAATGAAAAACTATTCAAGAATTAGCAACAATTGCTTAATAAATTAGGTCTGGTCTGAATGTGACTTTAAAGAGGATAGGTTTTAAAATAATGCCAAGTAATTATTTTAAGCCTAACTGGAGGTAGTAACTCCAGGTTATATGAGCAGGAATGGGGTGAGAAAGGATTTCTGAGTGCCCATTAAGCAATACATTATCCTGGGTGAGATGTGAGCATGTGTGTTGGAAGGCCTGGGTTCAAATCCTAGGTTTATCTGCTATGTAGATGGATGACCATGGACAACTCACTTAAATGCTTTGAGTCTTATGATCAGATCTGGACAAGATGAGTGATAATAGTAATTCTTCATCAGAGTGCATAAAGGATTGGATTTGATGATGAATATAAATTTTCTAGCATAAAGTAATTAGTCAATAAATTAGTGTTTATTAGGGAAAAATAATAGAAGCTTTACCAACAATCTATGGTAATAAATACATCATTCAAATGTTTTTATTCTGAATAATTGGGAGCAGTGTGATGGCTTCCATTCTCATAATAATTATAATGAGAACTAATGTCATGCTACCTCATGTACAGATCAATTTCAGGAGTAGAAATAACTTTGGAAGGTGGTAAAAGATAATGATAAATGTTCAAATATGTAGAGGTATTGTTGGGACATCCTTGTAAGTTGCTCTCTGGTACATGGGTAAGATACTAAACAGTGACTTTTGACGTGAGTTGAGAGAATCATTTCAGTAGTGTATCTAGGAGAGAAAATAAATACTGTTTCAAGTTTTGCACTGAAGTAGGGAGCAAATGAAAGATACCCTATGCTAAAAGTCTTCCAACACTGTTTTTGTTTTTGTTTTTGGCTTTTCTGGGTCCTTTGTACTCCTACATAACTTTTAAATTTCAATATCCAGTTCTTCATTTATAGCAAGTATACACAGACCTGAAGTTTTATATATACCTGTGTTTTCTAATTGTGCTAAATTCAAGTACAAGTTCTAGGGGCTCCTAGAGATTTCTTAGTATTTTCTCTGTAGATGATCATTTCATCTACATATAAAGATTTTGCTTCTGCCATGCCAATCCTATCCTAGTTGTGTCATTTTATTGCCAGACTATTTTGGTTTAGACCTATGTTTCAAAGTCTAATGGACAGATGAAGAGTAGGCATATACGCCCTTGTTTCCCACTTTAGGGAGAAAGCATGGTATCATCTCCATTCATAGAAGGAGTTTTTGTTGGAAGTATGGAGTACACGTCTTTGATCTGTTGAGAAGGTTCTGTTCTATTTCTAGTCTCCTGATACCTTTTACCATGAACAGCTGTAGAATTTGGTCCAATACTCTTTCTCCAACTAGTGACAGGATCATATGGCTTTCTCCTTTCCTCTGTTAAAATGATGACTTTTGGGGGTGGATCTTCCAATGCTGAACCAACACTGCCATCCCTATAATAAAACCACTTTCTACATACTGCCAGATCTGACTTCTAAGAGTTTGTTTTGTTAAACATATTTCTATCTATGTTCATACTTTTTTCTTCTATTATCTTTATCCAGTTTTAGGATTAGCACAATGTTGATTTCCTAAAATGAGGGGAGAAGTGTTCCTTCTTTTTTCTGCTTTAATTGTTTGCTATAATTTATCAGTTAAAATGTTTATGAGCCTGCTGTTGTCATATAGGTAGGTTTTCAAGCTAGGAATATACTTTCTTTAATAGGTGCTATTCAAATTTTATATTTCCTCCAGAGTTAGTTTCATTAATTTGTCTTCTAAGTTTCTTCTTAGAAGTTGTCAAATTTATTTCAAAAAAGATTTTTGTAATATGCTTTCTATATCCCTTTAAATTCTGTAAAATCTGTGGTAATGTCTCCTAGATCTTAATATTGTAATTTAAAAAATGTATAACTGATATTTTGTAACAGGAATAAGAGGTCTAAAAGAGCAGGGTAATTGGGATGGGTAGGGGAAGGGGAAAAAGGGAAAAGAAAAAATATGAGAAGAGGGAAAAAATGGAAGCAAGGTCTTTGCAAATAGGGAAGGGTGGAGGGGGTGAAGGGAGGGCAAGGGAAGGGGAAAAAAATAAGAACCAAGAGACTCATGTAATGGTACAAGATCCCAATGATGAATGTAACTGTATTTTATACCTAAAATGTACCAATAAAGTTAATGGGGGGGGAAAGAGAAAGATACCCTAAATGTAAAGCATAGCCACAAGAATACCTGTCAGATAAGATGAAAGTTAATTGACAAGTAAAATGTTAAGAAAGAAGTGTGAATTGATGGATAAAGTCCTCTCTCCATAATATATAGAGAGATACATTTGCCAAATTTCCTAGAGGAATACTACTATTTGTTTTGGACATTTGTTTAATTGTAGTTTTCCATTGCTTTTGAAATTTACATTTTTCATTATTGTGAATTCCATTCACTCAAGCAGTATGTTACTGTTTCCACAGTCCTACAAAATTTTTGTGATTCTAAGTTTCTCCAAGCTCAAAGAGAAGTCTAATGATGAAATAAGTCACAAGTACTTGTTTTAGTTCCTTTCTGTTTAACATAGCAATAAATACAATCATAATAATCATTGACCATGCAGAGTATAGGATTTCTACTGTGAGATCATTTTTGATGTGACTAACTGGTTCCGGTGTTTGCTTGTCCTCAAAGCATTTAAATTGTAATTAACTTTACTATTTTTTGTGTAAAGCCATTTCATTTCACCAACAAAAAAAGGATAAACTTGAAGTTATATCTCCATGAAAAATATGCCAATGATGACAGTTGACTCAGGTTCTCATCTGTAGCAAAAAAGATTTTCTGTTAACAGTAACAAGTAAGAATTCCAGAATGCTGTTCTTCAGCAATATGTTTTGTGTTCACCTATTTAAGACATCATATCCCCTGAATTTATGCTTCTAAGAAGAGAGTGATAATATGGGATCCTCAGCTACAGCTCCGTTTCCACCACAGTTCTTTCACAGTGCACTTACAACTCTTAAAAAGTTATTCAACAAGTTTTGAAAAAGTACATTTCTAGCATTAAATACATGCTAATTGGAGGAGTTCTCCAGAATCTCACGTACTAGTTCTAACAATCCTGAAAAGCCAGGCCCAGTTGAAAAAGTAAATCCTTCCCCAGGTACTACGTAAGGTTTTGAATTCAACCATTACAATTTTATGTTTTTCTTTAAATATTTTTTACTCACCATTAAGGAAAACACTATGTCTTTATAAGTATCATTGTGGTAGAAGTCAAGAACTTGAGTTCTAGCATAAATTCACTGCATGATCTGGGCATATCATTCAAAATTTGGGGCCTTAGTTTTCCTATTTTTCAAATGTATTTGTTTATCAAGAGCTCTCAAAATCTCCACAGTTCTAACAGCATGATTTGCACTTTTATATGAAACAAATGTCCCAAACCAGGTTTTATTGGTATTGTAAGAAAGAGGCAAGAAGGTGGGCAAGAAAATACTAGATTGGGGAAAGAAATAAGCACAGGGTCACTAAGTAGGAAAGGATAGATTGGTCCAAAAAGTTAGAAGAACCCAACAATTGTTTCCAGCAGAACACTAACAACAAAGGTTATATTTCCTTATATTTATATTAAATCTTTTAAGAATTTAAACCTACTCCATAGGATCTTTCAGTTTTTCCTAAGATAAGACATAAGAGAATTTTGAAAAATGAATTTTTATTAACAGAAACATCTCATTGTTAATAAAAGGCTGAGATTTGCTTAGTTCTACTAATATATTTATCACATGTATTTATAATATATTCGTCATTCCACTTACCTCCTTCATAACAGGAAGAGACTACAGCAACTTTCAGAGAAAGAGGAGTATATATATATTTTTTTATTTTTGCTTTCTCAAAGTATTAAAATTTGCAAGAGGGTAACATTTATGTGACTTTTTCTCCTTAGTAAATTAAATAAGAGCCCATTATGAAAGTGATCAGAAGCAGGTGAAGACATATGGAAATAACCAGCCCGAGCTTTGAGTACTGAGACTTATAGTCTCAGAGGTTTTCCCTTGGTTATTAGAGGAAAAACAAAATCTTGTTGTGTTAAGGAACAGTGTCACACTTTTTTGGCCCATTTGGCTATTTTCACTACCTGAGTCTAAAGGTGATTTTGAAAGAATTATGATAAAACAAATAAAATCAAATTGTAAAACTAAACTCTAAATAGGCCTGTAAGAGTGAATAATATTGCTTAGATTTTATAAAAAGAGAATAGCATAGAATATTGATGACCAACTTGTGGAGAAAACATAGGAATAATACCTTGACTAATAATAGAAAGTCTCACATATCACTTGCCATTTCATTCTGCAGCTTTAATCACCATGTAGTATTTAAAAATGAGCTAGGACAGGGCTGGGGGTTTAGCTCAGTGGTTCTGCTGCCTGCCTAGCAAGTGCAAGGTCTGGGGTTCAATTCCTGGTACAAAAAAAAAAGCTAAGGCAAAACAATTAGTGTTTCTTAAATTTATTAAAATTCATGTAAACGATGTCTAAATTGTGATTCTTGACTATCAGGATTTTCAGATTTTATCTAAAAGGTGTCAATCACCTTCCTTGTACATATCACCCTAGTTTAAGATCA